AAGTTCTCCCTGGATGGCATCCCTCTTGGTAGATTGCCCAAGTGTTGCATTGTTTTATTTTATCAATCCAGCATATAATATTGGATCGGAAAAGCAACACATCATAGATATCAATTATAGAATTAATTCTTGTTCTAACAATGGTTTCATATTTTAGAAAGAAAAAAAAATTATGTTAAATTATCGGACGAACGATACTAGAAAATCCAAATTTAATATAGTCTTAAGCATACTTTCTGCTTCATTAATGAAGTGCTGAGAGAATCCGAACCAACTATTACTTCAGTAATGAAATACTAGAAGACTCGGGATTAGTGATATGCTAAACTGAATTCCTTTAAGATTAATAATTTACTGGTTGTGAGGAAACAATGTCCATTAAATAAATGAATCAATAGTTAAAATCAGTATAAGAAACAGATATTCGATGACCTGAATGATACGTTGTTTTAAACACGAAATTATTCACTACGATGCCGTATCGTTTCCTCAAATCTTCCTCGAGAATATGTTAAAAATTTCTTAGAAACTCATCGTATATTTCCTCAAAATGTAATTTTTTTCATATAACAGAGGGAAATTATGGAGGACACTTCAAGGTTTTTATATTTTTGGACTAAAGAGTCCTGGAAATGTCAAGAAATGCAAAAAAAATGGGGGTTTAGACTAAGTATGAATGATAGTGTGCTCGTGTATGGGGAAGTACGACTTTTTTCACCCACTTAGAAGCTTCTGCGCCATTTGTCCAAAATTTCTGTAATTTTGCAAGGCGGTTTGTCTATTATGGGCACCGATGCTATTAAAATTTGGTGATTAAAAGTCAAGAGGGTAGGGAGATAAATATGAAATCTCGACATATGTACAGTACAGTACCATGAACCAATTAACAAATCTTATGTTTGGCTCGATAAGGCAACCAACACGTGGGCTATTTGTCAAGGGGAGGATGCCTTCCTGGAAAATTTTCTTTGAAAAATTGTCCCTTATTTAAGTGTTAGACACGTGAAGAAAATCCGGAAAAATCTTCGTAACCAACCTGTTGATTAGGTACGAACCCGCAACTAACTACTATTGTTTGGTAGTATTAAAAGCGCAGGAGTTGTTAAACTTCAAACAGGGTGAAGAAAATCGTGTCTCCTACAAATACTACCCACTCGAATTTTTAGCATTTCTCGACGTTTTAAGGTCCCCCGAGTCCAAAAATATAAAAATCTGGGGGGTCATTTTTTGATCGATTCCCATACTTTCTCTCTGTTATATATAACAGCCTGGGAAAGTAAAAAAAAAGAATAAATAAATAAAAAATTACTCCAAAAAAAAAATAAAGAGGAAAACACATTTACGTGTTAATTTAAAAAAGAAAAATAGCAAATTTTTGTCTTTATAGAAAAATAAAATAAAATATGAAAATTTTAAATTTCTTTCGTCGTTACAAATTAGAAATAAATAAATAATAAAATTACGAATTAAATTATAACTTTATTTAAATTGCCCGCAGGGAAACAATAATAAATTAATTTCAATAAATTCGGAATTGTAATTTCTTTTTATTTATATATAAAGAAGTTTGAGGATTTTTAGAAGAATATTCTTTTGAAAATTTAATTTCTTTTACGAGACTATAAATTATCTTAAATTATTCTTCTGAGAAAATTCCATTTCTTTTAAAAAATAAAGAATAAAAAAAATGGTTAATTTTTTGGAATTTTTTAGAAAAATTCCATATATTTTCCTAGTGAAAATCAGTTTTTCCTTTACGAGATTTATTTATTTATTTATCTAAGAAAACGCATAAATCTTAGAAGAGTTTCTCGAGTTTTCCAGCTAATTTATCCATAAATTTATGAATTTATCTTTCTAAAAATACCGAGAAAACTGTCTTTTTCGAAGAATTATTCTGTTTTAGTGGTTCTATTTAAAGAAATTCTCATTCTTCACCTTCTACTGTAGATGATTATGAAGAATTTTAATGGAATAAGCAAATTTTTCTGTTCTAAATCGACAGATAAACACGCTTCCTATAGAAAAATGGAAGCTCGATATCTCGATACGAAAACAGGAAAGTGAGGTATGTTGATATGGTTACGTTTGCCCTAAGGCCAAATTTTTCTATTAAAGGTTCCATTTTTCGCCTGATTATACCAAAGAGGAAACAGGTCAAATTTCCATTTCTTCAAGATAGATGATATGTCTCGACAATGTAAGTCACGTCTGACGGGCTAATGCCAATTCCTTCTCTGTAAGAGATTGTATTGACCACCCCCGTATGCCAAACTACCCATTCGAATCGACCGTATAACCTATTAGTGGTTCATACATAACAATGACGAAAAAAATTAAATTTACCTCACGATCTTTTTACATTTTAACCTAAAGACGAGAGCTTTTGATTTCGATACTTCCAATTTAGTTTAGTTTAAGCGTTTAATTTACACATNAGGAATCAAATGTGAAAAAAATAATTCTTACGTGTTAAGAGAATGTCATAGATTTAATACAGTATGAAATAATTTCGAGTTTTTTAGTGATTTTTGAAGCTGTAACACTATCGTTAAGTTACAACATTATTCACAAAAGGGATTCATCTTGGTCAAGGACAAAATTAAATTTTCCTAAATTTGATAAATCACAAGCCTATAACGTGAATTTCTAACATGATGATCGTGATAAAAACCCAGTTGTTTCTACCGCAAACAAACAGGGTTATTGAAAGCATTTATTTACAAGAATCGTCGAAGATTGTTGTAAATTTCGAAACATTTTCTTCTCCACATCAGGAATTTTATTAAAGACTTACTCATGCGAAGTTGATTGATGCAGAGATTGCATGCAATGTAGCCACACTGTGTTCAAATAATAAAATTTGGCAATATTCCACATACTTTATTTCGTTATATACCGGTATGCTATTGTATTAATATTTGACTACATACATATTTTCCAGACGAGGTGAGATTATAAGGAAAAGTTAGAGGAAAACACATCCAAAGTAATCATGATCGGAACATCATTAATTTTTGAAGAACGTGTCTAGAAGAATTACGTAAATCTAACGGAAGATAATATCGATATGAGTCTCTGAAACGATATGTTTTTCGATAAAGATATTATTTAAAAATTAGGAAAATAGTAATAGAATATCGATGTAACAAGAGGATCTGACAAGAATCTGTATATGACAACATTAGTCCAACATCATAACATTTTTAAAAATAGCTATTGTAAGTTAGGCTACTTCCGAAATCCAACCTTCTATCAATAGATCAGGCCTCTTCTAGATGTTTCATCTTTCAATCTGTTTATCACGGATAACTTTTAACATGGACTGCTAAATTGATTCAAGTTGGAAATATTGTCAATAACAATTCAAAGTATTGAATGAAGTAGAAAATAGCATTGAAAAAGTTTACATAGAATTACGATAAACAAATCAAGAGAACTCCCATCATAAGATAATTAAAAATATAATTCTATACTTGTTTTGGCGAAAGATGAATCTGACGTCATTCTTCCAACTAACATGTTTGTTGGAGACTTAGAACATTAAATTAAAGTCGTAAACGTCATTTCCGTTGTCATAATTGTTGTTAGGATGCCAAAGAATCCCATTTTTTGCTTTAAAAAAGAACGATTAGTCTTTTGAATGTACTGCGAAAAACTACGTTTCAGTTCTAGAACATTTTCTGGCGACTGCATTTAAGAACAGAGAAGGATTCGAACAGAATTTGAGAAAATTTTTGTAAAGAATGGTTTTGGTGACTTCTCCTTCCAGAATGGAGTGTTGTTAATGACTTTTAGGCATAATAGATTTAAAATAAGCATGCTCTTATTGTTTTTTAATACAAATAATTGTATAAATATTTACAAAGAATATGCTGGTGTAATTAATCGATAATCGTAATTCGAATAAAAACATAACAGATAATAACGTTTGAATTTACAGCACAAATTTAGTTTAAAACACGGTTGATTGAGTTAAAAGTCTCCAGAAAAATACATAGGTCATATTCATGGATCAGACGTGACGTGACCTCTCATTCTTACTATTGGTTATCGCTTGCCATGTGCTCTCTACATCATACTCTCTACCATAACACTCTCTACATCAACTATAATTATCCAAACTCTAATCATCAGTGACAACAATCTAAAAAATTAACTCTTATATCTCTGAATTAAGGAATGGCAGAACATTTCCAAAAATATTATCCAATTACAATGTATCTATATGTACAGTACAAGAGTCTGGTCTACTCGCTTATTAGACCGAAACTAATCACACAACATTGACTGTGTTATTTATAGAGGATAAAATTTTCTTCTGACATTTTCAATTCTGTTAATCAGGAGTTAATTAAGCACAAGAGAAATGAACCTCTTGTAAATGAAAGGATTTTTGGAATAATCAATTTTCCAGATATTGGCATTGAAAAACTCTAGCTCATACCAAATTATAAGGATGAATTATTTTAAGAGTAAAAAATAGCTTATGATAAGAGTATGGACAAATATTGTTATATGAGATCTTATTTCCCTTACAAGAATTCTTATTTATGTTTTAAATCTTGCTCCTTGTAGAAATTGTATTTTCTTGCAGAAAGCAATGACAGAAAGTCTGAAGAAAAGTCAAAGATCGTTTTTCTTTTTGGCGTGACTTTAATTATTTATTTGTAGAATCTTTTTTCATTTTAATGGATTTTTTTCAGAATCTTTAAACTTCAAAAAAAGCCCTTCTAGACTGGTCAAAGGATTTAAATCGTCATGTGACTTTATAAACCTGTTTTTGAGAGAAAACAAGAGTACTAAATAGCAAGCAGTTAAGTAAGCAAACCGATTGCATATCTCGTTTCATATGAAATAAACTATGCTATTGGTCTGCTTACTTGGCTGCTTGTCACTTAGAAGCACCCCAAAATAATAGCGTTTCATGTTCTGTTTTTGTCTATTTTTTTTATGACATCCTATTTAAATATCAAACAAATTTAAATAAGTTTTTATTTAATTTTATAATTTATTTACATAAATTCTTTATTCCAAGCAGGAAAAATTTAAATTTAAACAGGTTCGTTGATTACGTAAATTTTGAAAAATTTTTCTCGACCAATCAAATTCGAATATGATGTTAAAGTGAAAATGTAATTAACTTAATAAATTCAATGACTTATATTATACATAAATATTTAAAATATGTAGATTTTAATTAAATATTTTAAAATTTTCTATTTTTATCATACAAATCTTATTATTTCTTTTTTATTTTTCAGTAACGTCCTTATACGGATCAAAATATCCATACTATCCAGGATACATGTATCTAATAGCACCGATATCGCTTATAATCTTAAATCCTATAGGATTTTTAATGATGGAAATTGAAAAATTCCGTTCTACTAATTCGAATAAAGATTTATTTATTAATAGAAGACAAATTATATTTAAATTTACCAAAATGATTTTCTCAATAATTTGGGAAGTGTTAACTAATCCAAATGTTTTCATGACATTATTAGGAGTCCTTGGTAATATATTTTTAAGAGGACAATTCCCCGATGTAATCATTCGAATACTAGAGGTAAGAATTTTCTAATATCTTAAGAAATATCTTACAAATAAAGGATTCATATAGATTTAAATTTGTAAAATTAAAAAGTATAATTTACCAAGAAATGATTTATTTTTTTTAAATATATTTTTGATAATTAAATATTTTTATTGCAGGTCTTGAGTATGGCTTTCGAAGCAACTGTATTATTTTTATTAGGCTTTAGTATATTAGGAACAGGAAGTAGTCTTGCTGGTGCTGGACTTTTGGTTCCTGGGATATTGTTAGCTGTAAAAATGTAAGTTTTATTCCATTAATGTGAATCTACACGAAGCAATTTCAATATTTTAATCTAACTGAATTATATTTTAGGCTAGCTTCACCTCTTATTATTCGTGCAACTGTACAACTTTTATGTGCAACATACCCAGATGTCGAAGATTTAGCAAATTATGGGTTTTTATATGGAATGGTTCCAACTGGACCCATTGTATTGCTTTTTGCTAATCAATACAGCCTACCTACAGAAGTGGTGAGTGTTCTTTCACTTACTTCTCTTGATAACTTATAATTTTAATTAAATAACCATGAAAATTTTTATATTTTAAGCTCTCCGCGACGATGGTAGTTTGCACTTTTCTTACTGCACCACTTATGTTCGTTTTAGCAAAGATGGTCACCATGCATGTGAGTGGTGTAGCCGAATACGCCATGCAAATGAGCAATACTCTTCTGGTCCTGGGAATATTGGGATTATTGGCATCAGTACGTAATTTTAGCAAATATTTTCGTAAAATAATTAAAAGTTAATAAGAATAAATGTTAAGACATTACATAAATTAATATAACATTTGCAAAAGTATATGTTATTCATTTTTATATATGTACAGTATATCTATATTTAGATTTACTTCAACTTTTATATTTAAAAAAATTGTTTCTTGCAACAAAAAACATTGAAAATAATACAATTAAACGCTCTACATGCAAATCGCAATTTCAGTTATGGAAAAGTAAATAAATAGCATCCGCTGACTAATTTATTACTATATCACTTGATATAAAGGATTTTATTAGATGTAATCAGAGCATTAAATCTAAATAAAAATAAAATTAGCAAACGCAATATTGATATTCATATATACAATTAAAGATTTAAAATTTTATATAAATAATTATAACTAATATGGATACATAAATAGATGAACTGCTGTTACTTTCCCGGTGGACCGAGAGAAATGAATTAGACTTATTACTCAAATAAACATATATATATATATATATATTGAAAATTTATATATTTTTTAATCATTATAAATTTTATGTTGGCAGATTTTTTTTTCTCTTATCTCACGTTGAGAATCCTGCTGTCATTCAAGATAATAAGAAAGTTGGAATTGTTTTCTTTTGTCACGATTAACTCTTTCCATTTTAACTCCAGTCAAACAATTTAATTAAAAAAATTCCCATGTACTATTATTCTTTCGTCTTTTCATTATCTACAGCTGGATATTACTAATTCCCTGTATATTATCTGATTTCCTTTTTTCCAATTAATGAGGCGGAATTTTCACTTATTATTGTAATTTTTTTTAGTTTTTATTTTATAAATAATAATTGATATTACTTCTCGTTTGATTTTTTGAAAATGTTAAGTGTTTTTTTTATATTAAATTTACTTTATTTTTAGTTCGAGTCGCGCTTCCATTCTTCCAAAAAATTACACAAAAATTTATAAATATTTAGTTTATTTTAGTGTAAAGTGTCGCTTGTAACATACCAGTACTTATATTTTACACAGAAAGTATTGTAGTTATGCAAATTATAGGAATATTTATAAAAAAAATTCTTATTAAGTAAATGTATTTTAAATCTTAATGATTAGCTCTAGTATTGTATTCGTTATTCGCATTATTAAAGCAAGTAATATTAAAAGGAAATTAATTAATTCAGTTAATTAATATTAATTGGTTTTATCTAAATGATACTTAGATACTCGCTAATTAATTAGATGAAAGTACTACACAAATATATCTTTATCGAAATAATTAATGATGTTGAGTAAAAATAAGTTTAGATGTGTAAGTAATTCTATGATAAAGAATATTTATCTTCACTTGTCTGCTTTGAAAATATTTTTATTTTATTCGCTGTGATGTTTATGCGCACATAATTTTAAATTCAGAAAGTATAATATATCTGCTTTAAATCCATTATTTTTTTTTCTTGTTCAATATACAGCTTACGTTCGCGTAAGAAATGGTGCATTAAAGCGTTACTCATATGCTTGCATACACGTGCTTATGTATGCTGGCAGACTATTGTTTGGCCCAGAATCGAATCTGGGAGAGCAGCCTTAGCAGAAAGTTCTCACCAGCGATAACTTCTGGGCTTCGTCTCTTACCATTCGGCTGTTCCCATTGTAAGCTTGTTTGGTTTTGTTTATTTGTTTATGGAAACGTGACAGGTGGGCGATCGGCCGAGATGATGGGAAACTGGCCTCTGTTTAGATGTTAAAGACGTGAAGAAAACCGAAAAACTCCACGTGGCCGGCCCGTTGGCGAGGCTCGAACCCGCGACCAACTTTAGTGGTTTGATCCACTCGACAATATACACCCACGCTAGTTATGGATATAAGGCCCTTTAGTGCTCACAATGGATCAAAAATTATACGTATACATACTTAAGTATATTTAGTTAATATTTTTAAAATTAGAAAACGTAAATAAAAACGTCTACTGCACCTAAAAATATGTGTAAAGTACTATTTTTATACTTAAAAAATGTTTGTTTATATCTTTCTTTCTGATGTTTTTAAAGTGAATTTTTTATGCTCAAGGTTTTTATGAATATTATTTGCATTTATATACATTCGTACGAGCGTCATACATATATATATATAAGCATTTTACACTAGCTTAGATGTAGAGATGGAAGATTATTAACGCATAATAATTACAGAGCTACGATATTTAGGATAATAATAGTTTAAATTTATGGTTAGATACGTTATCACGATGTTGTATTCAGTTTGTGGTATACAAATTACAAATTAATCCTGATTTTCCACACATTAGAAAATTACAAATAAATGTAACTAGAAGAGATTAATGAATTAGACCTTTATCGTAAACGGGTCTATCACAGGGTGGATCAGCAGGGCCATTTAGCTCATGGCTGACATTTACGAGAGCCCTTAAAGCATTGGTTACAAATAGTTCCATTGTGTTTCTTGTATATTATGAAAAAACTTTGGATTATTTTTCTTCCTGTTATATAACAGAGGGAAAGTATGGTTATCGGTGAAAAAATAATCACCACCCCGTAATTTTTACATTTTTTTAGACCTCAGAGGACCTTGAAACTTCGCGAAATGCAAAAAAGTTGAGGGTTTTCTGTGTGGGGGCACGATTTTATTCATCCAATTTGAAACTTAATAACTCCTGTACCTTTCGCCAATATTTTCTGAAATTTTGCAGGGAGTTTCAGTATTAGGGGGAAGTGTTTCCAAAAATTTTCAGGAAAATTGGGCCATCGGTTCGGGAGATGTGACCCCACCCTTTTAATATCTCCCTAATCAATCTGAAGACGTATAAAGGTAACGATAGCAATGGTTAGAGATGAAAACAAAGAATCAAATTAATATTCTGAGGATGTTAAAAAGGCACATGGTCCAAGTTTCTCTTGACCTCTAAACGGTTCTAATTGTGATATATACATAATTTATTTAAAAATATAAGCAACATTTGAAATTTTATGAACGAAAAAATTATTTTTTTGTGTTTAAATTTAAATTTTTTAAAAATAAACAGTCAATTAAATGAAAGATTTTAAAGGTTAGTAAATAAACATGATGTATGTATACGAGAACATTTCAATGATTTTTTATCCCATTAAAAGCCATGTTCTCTTTTAACTATCATTAATGTCATTTGTTTTATTTTTATGGAAAAAAAGTAAAAAATTTTATCCAAATAAACTGAAAGTTTTCATTTAAATTTATTTACTTTAAAAAACACAAAAGATGAGGAAATTTAAATGACATTTAAATAATAAAAATTCCTAAAAGAATCGATTGTTTTTATATAATTTTTCAAACTAATCAATAAACAAGCGGTAATATAGAGTGAGCGCGTTACATACTTAAAACAATTAAGAATTTAATAAATATATTTAAAGATAAATTACATAAAAGGGAAAGAGAAAGAAAGAAAAAAAAACATTTAAAATTTATAAATATATTTTTCTTGCAGTTGAAAGAAAGCAGAATTTATAAAATAACAATAACAGTAGTCAACATTAAGAAGGACTGGTTTGTTGAATTTCTCTCTCCATACAGTAACTCAGTTCTTATCATGTCACCAACAGACAGAACGCTTCTGTATATTTTCTTGCCAACTGTGTATGACAGCTCTCATGTAATTAATTATAGATAAATTGAATAGTGTCAGCAGTTCAATAGGACGTTACTACTGTCTAGAATCTACTCCTTTAGAAATTGGAGAAAAACTTATACACAGTTTTTACCATTTAAAAGAAATATATATATATATATATTAAAAAAAAATAGTTGCCTGTTAGAATTCTCTTCAGTTTATCCGTTTATTTCCATTCTAAAAATGAATGATACCGAGTAAAGGACTTTCTACGAGACTCAGCGGCGCCTTATCTTATGGGCAAAAAAGGACAATTGTCTGGGGTCCCCATTAGCAGGAAACCTCAAACTAATCTTTTAAAAAGATATTTTCCTCAAAAAAACTCCGTAGAAGAAAAATGTCTGAAGTCAATATTATACGTGGGTTTCCCTAATTGAAATTTGTCTGGTCCCCATAAAGCTACAACGCGCCACTGAGGAAACTGGACCATATTTGGGAACTTAGTAGACACGTGAACAAAAGAGAAAACTTCTATCTGTCAGACCGGAATCTGCAAATATTTTTGCTTCCAACGTATAAATTTATTATTACTTATTATTTTTATTGAATTTTCAATAATTTTATATTTATATACGTATTTAAATATTTAAAAATCTAGAATTTTGAAATTATAATGGTTTACTTTATCTTAAATTGATTTCCTCTAAGGAATTTCATTACTAAAATATTTAAAAAATGGATGCCTGTATATAGTTTACGCATCAAATTTTTACTTTTTTCAATGTAAAATCTTGTTTAAAATACAAAACTTTTATAAAATTTACAACCTTTTTACTTATTTATTTGTTTTTGCATTAATTTTTTAACACTTGAGCCGTAGAACTTTGCTCGAATCTGTTGAAAATCAACTCAATTCGGCTTTCATATGACAGCACGAGTTGATTTCTTTTTTTTTTTTTTATCAAAGCACACGTATAATATCACGTTACACAATTAATCCCTGCATTAAATAGAAAAAAAATGTTGTTATTTCTCGAAGCATCTCTTCTTGTTTTTGAGGGTTATTCGTGTATAAAAATCTATCAAAATGAAATATTTATAACACATTAACATTGGGCAAAGCTCGAGGCGTGAATTACACTCGTGCTCTGTATTTGACCATTCAGAAACTTCAAGGAAAATTCTTAGGTATTATCACTATACCCTTTCAAAAATAATAAAATTATTATGTTTACAAAGGATAAATTGCATTAAATCAAACTCCATACGGTAAATACACTCGAGCTGACTGACAGCTGAGATGTAGAATTGTCATGGTACCATTTACACCACAGTATTGTGATGTGTTACGACGTCATTGGCTTTTATCGATGTTGATCCGTTAAGTGCGGCTTTTGAAGCGTGTCTAGTTGTCCACTCCTAATATAATTCGAATTTACATATAACGTATTGATATATATATACATTGAAACTTTCAATATAATTGTGCCCACTAGTGGATTACGGATAAAACCACTAAACACTAGTCGCGGGTTCGCGCCTGGTGTTTCTTCAAATTTATTAGAACTTATAGAAATAATAGAAAAAGTTAATTTTTACATAAAATTTTATTTTACGTAATAAACAACAGTATTACGGTTGCTGAAAAATTTAGTTTACATAATAAAGTTTTAAAAATTTAGTACTTTTTATAGTTGGTTTGATAAATGATACTGCACTTCGGAGTCATACAATTGCACGAAGTGCTCCCGCTTTATTTAAATTTTATTAAGTTAATAATAAATTTATATGCTTTCTAATAAAATATTTAAATTAATAGCATATATTATTATACATTTATTCTATTTTTTTATATTTTTTATAGCTTAGGTTTCAGTTAGAAAATACAAATATTCAACAATTCAATTTATTCATCCTTACTCGAAACTAATTTATTTTAAAACATATATTTTCCTGAATAAAAAAAAGTAAAGTTTTTATTTAGGAAATTTCAAAATTTATAATATATATTGATATATTTGTATTTACTTTTTGAAAATTTTCGTAAATTTCAGTATTTCAACGCCGAACTTCATACATTCATAGTTAAATAATTATATAAGGACGTATAAGTAACTAATCGAGACGTGATTCTATCAAAGACACATTAGAAAATTTAATTAGTTTTTCCTGAAAGACACTCACTAACTTAAAATCATTCGGAGTAATTTGTTTGCGCAAACATGTGCCAAATCAAATAGAACTGATTTTATTTTAATTACAAGTTTTAAATAAGTAGAAAATGCGGTAATTAATTACATTTTATAAAAGAAAGAGAAACAACTTAAAACTCCGTTATAATACTTAAATTTTTGCATCTTTTAGATTTATATTTAAATTTTCTTACATTCAAATTACATTAAAGTTATTTATTTTTCTAAACTTTTAATAAAAACAAAATTACATTTTCAATATATTTTCAGAGCAAATATTTCTTGTATATAACAAAGTCATATACGTCGTACATTTTCAAGTAAAAATAAAATGAATATTTTTCAATAATTCCTGATCTTGTAATTATGCCATTTATGGGTAATGAATTTTTCATTATTGTTTGAAAGCCATAAAATTTCATGAAAAAACATACAGAAATTTCCTTTTTTTTTATTAAGGTCTCCTTTAATTTAATCAGAGTTTCTTAAGTAGTAAGCCTCAAGCAATATAGAGAAGTTATACGCCATGTTTTCAGATTTAATCTACAGAAAATCTTGGTAAATATTAATCTACGTGTTGTATACTTTCTAAGTAATAACGAGTAAAAATTACAGTAATATCGTCACAATACCGGAATTTTTAATCATATTTTTAATTTATTTCATTTAAAATATACGCTCTCCACCACAAATTAGTAATGTCTCGCCCCTGTAAATCATACTTTTCCCGAAAGCAGCAGAGCCATGCTGGTCATCTATCTAACTCCAGTTTTACTTGATTTACTGGTTATCAATTTAAAAAATAATAAATATTTTTAGTCCATTAAAATCTAATTAATATCTGTTAATTAATAAGGTATACGCAATAATTTTCAAATTATTTAGGAAATTTTAAAATATTACAAACCCTTAATTAATAACTAAAAAAAGATGGAATGTATATATATTTTAATCATTTATCATACAAAATCTCTCACCCTGCTCATTCTATGTTAATAATAACTCACTTACTTAAATGACTTATCGTTTAAAATTGGCACATCTTTTGTTTTAGATATAAAATTTAAAACTATTTTAAAAACTTTAAAGTGTAAATATTACGTTGTAGCAAATTGTATAATAAGAAATAAAATTATTATTTTTTGGTAAGATAAATTGGGGATGATCACTCGGATAACATATGATAAGAAAAATGAAAGACATCTTAATACTCTTGTCAATTCTAAATTGAGATAAATTCTATTTTTTGAATTGTTCAGGATTATATTGAATTAGTTTACTTTCTTTCCTACAGTTATTTCCAACGAATAAAATAAAAAGTTTATATATAGTTGGATAGACATTTTGTTGAAAGAATAAAAAAAAAAAATAAATGTTTTATTTTGTTTTTCAATAAAGAACTTGACACGAAAGTAATAATTTTCGGTTACATCAATGTTTTCAATATGTGTAATATATGAAGCTACCTTTCAACGTAGTGTAAGATTTATCGTGTTTAAGAATGCTGGAAGAAAATGCCTACATACTGATATGTCGGCTCCTGTTATTACCTAAAATATAATAAAAATACAATAAATTAGAGCTTAAGTTTGGTTTAGTCTCCCCGAAGGATTCTTTATTTAGGTGTTACGAGAGTGAAGAAAACTCGCGACTAGCGAGGAACGAAAATGACCAACGTACCAGTGTTTAGAGGTGTTAATCCACTCGATCACTGGTGAGTTGGAGCTTAAGAATATTGAAAAATACAGTAGTTATTTAGGCTTATTCCATTTTTGAGTCTTGTAGTCGCAAAGAGTACCTTTTGTCACACTCATTGTGGATTCGATCGGGCCCACAAAGGGGGTGATTGGGTAGTGTGGGACCGGGACCATCCGTAAAAATTTCTGGTATTGCTCGCCTGAATTCGATCCCGGATACCTCAGAGCTATAGGACGTCTTGTCCGTCAGGCCCTCAAATAAATTGGGATATTATAGTTAAAAATATTGAAGAAGTGACAAATATACCGAGGAATATACTTGCGTAAGTTAGTACGTAAGAGTGTTGAAAAATAGCAGAAAATTCTAAGAATATTGAAAAACAAAGGTAATAATACTGTATGGGAATGTTAGAAAACGATAATTAAGATATAACTAAAGATGCGAAGGAATCCTGTAAGAATACTGTATAAATATTTTATTTTTTATATATAAAGGTAATTAACTCAACATTTAATTGGAGTAAATCATATTTTTTTCTTCCTTAATTTCTGTAACCAGTGGCCAAGTAGACGAAAGCACCGAACACTTGTACTTGGTCACGGGTTCGTACCTCATAACAGATTCATCACGTGGATTTCCGAGTAATCTTCACGCGCTACCACCTAAATTTGGGTCAGTTTCTCACAGAAAGTCATTCACATTTGACAAATCTCTTACTTTTAAAAAATTGAAGGTTCGTATCCTATAAATTCTCATTTCTTAAAAATGTATTTTAATAAATTCGATTTTAGACTGGTTTCAGTTAATTTAATTTTCTTTAAAACTTCTAACGAACATTATTTTTAATTATTTAAAAGAGTTTTAAGATTATTTTCTTCTTCACATTTTAGATTTAATCAAAATCTTTTATATAAATAATTAAACTTGTATTTACTTTAAATAACAAGTACTAGTCCGAGCTCAAAATGTCTTCTACTTCTCATTCTTTCAATAGTTAATCCTGGTTAATTCTATCTTCTATGTTTAATTAAATAAATAAAAAGTAAATTTTAACGATATTCGCAATTAAAACTTCCATTCTACTTCCAGAAATGTTAGTTTTTTCTTTACAAAATACTTTTATAATTACTAATATAAAAAAATCAGATAAAAATATATTAAATTTCCAGTAAAAAGTAAGAAAATTTAATCATTTTATTTAGTTATAAAGTATATTTTTTAGAATTTTTTTTAAATAAATTTTTTATTAGAATTTCCAATGATCCATTACAAAATTGGTTTTTTAGATCAACAAATTGACATTAAATCTAAAAAAAACACGTCGTTGATTAATATAATTTCTTTTTTTTAAGTAAAAACTTTTAGGTAATGAAAACACATTTTAACATTTAAAATTATTTTATAGTTTTTTTTTATTTAGAGATTTCTTTTCCTCCTGCTCTTGCAATTAATAATCTTCTCGAATGTCCTAAGGTTACTTAATGAAAAAATATTAAGATCTTCAATATATTGCTTTTGAAACTTTTAATGAATTTCTTCATATAAATGTACTAATTTATATAAAAAAAGGAGGGGGAAATACACGTGGAACTTTATTAAAAATTCATTTAACTTCAGTTGCTCTTCTTATTTTTCTAAAAGAAAAAAAGAAAAGAAAAATTATTCTAATCTGAAGAGAAAAAATCATTATAATTAACAGCAAAATAGTTTTTTAATTCTTTACTTAATTTTCATACGATATTACGTCTTTTAAACGTAATAAATATAAAATTTTTACGAAATTTTCAGCGTGATTCTTGTTAGAAAAGTGAAATTATCAAGGTTAATATTTTAAATATAATATATTGTATCGACATTTTAAAGTGAATTTGTTATTTAGAATGAAGAGAATTACTTGTTTTATCAATGGAAAAGAGAAATGTCTCTCTTATTTAAGATTTATAAGGAGATTACTGTCCAACAAGTATGTCATTGAAAAGGTGAGCTCGTATCCCAAAGGACAATCTGACAATCCAGAGTTACTGTTATTTCAGCTTCTTGTTGAAATTCGAGTAGTTTAGTAAAGTAACTAAAAGAAAATCTTGCATTGAATCATGTTATTTCACCGAATAAAATAATCAAATGCAAAGTTTTACACTTCTTTTCTTAGTAGAAAGGGCGGGACTTGCTTTATTATTCAACAAGTAGAAAGAAAAAAAATATTCAACATAAATGAGAAAATTTATAAGTTGAATTATTTATATATTCTAAAACTAATTTTATTGATTTATTTTATATTTTTTTATGATTTTTGTAAAGTTATATATTATATTTTTCTTTTTTTTTCATCTCAATTGCTTGATATATTATAACAGAATTTGAAAAATTATGATAGATTCTCATTTCTAACTTGGCGTAGAATCAATAGAAAGAATATTTCATTCTTGATCAATTCTTCCTGTTATTTTTCTTTCTTTGCATTTATTCTTTGGTAAATGCTTAAGTTAATGCATTATTTAGAATTTATTCCGTATTCATGTCTTTTATAATTTTTTTTAAATAAAAAATTAATTATGGAGCTTATATATTTTCATTTTAAATTGTATAAACAGTCAAACCTCTGAACAACGGACACTGACGCAAATACAAAAGTAGTCCACTGTTTGGAGTTTATTTTGTAGGCATTTCAAAAAGAAACTATCCTGAAACGAGCAATTATTTATTGTGATATTGAAATTTGCCCCTGTACATCATACTTTTCCTGTTAACAATGGAGTCTGGTCACCTATATAACTCCGTTCAGAAGAAAATTTTTGAATTGAAATGACATGTAATAATGTGTTACGTATGTAATTAAGTGTCTCCCGCCCCTAACCTTTCTATATCTGGTCTTTTGTTCATCTATCTAACTCCGTTCTCGAGATTAAGGAAGGATGGACAAACAGGCAACAGTCTATAATTTTTAAAAATTGCAGCCCAAAAATGGCCGCCGTTTAGTGGTGGCCGTTATTGGAGGTTCGACTGTGTTAAAATTTAATATTTAATTTTGAAAGTATGAAAGAAAACACTAGAATATTCAATAGTGACGAGTCTTGTTAATTCGTAGATTTAATTTATTTCATAGATTTTTAGGTGTTATTCTTTAATATATACATCTATAATAAGAGGTGGTCCATTCTAATAATTTATTTATGTGACTGGTAAGAATGCCCATAAGAACAAATTTGTATGCCACTATTAACATTGAAAAAATCCGCGTAAACGGTGCCTCGAGTCCACTTTCCATTGTGCTGAATGGGAAGAGGGGGGTCAAACCATTGTCTACGTGTATTTTTCACGACCCTCTTAAAATGTATACGTAATTAATGGACAGTCTCTGAAAGTACCTACTTTATTTTAGTAAATAAGAGTTATATATGGTATATTTTTCTATGAAAACTATAATTAAACTAATTCAAAATTGCTTCAAATGAAGTTGTTTAGAACTGTACTTGTTATAAAAGGTCTTTAAATTTATTTTACTTTAACTTCTATAGTAAAAATACATAAATAATTACTAAAATTGACCCCGAAAGTTTGTTATTTTAACATCTTTTTTACTTATAAAAATATCGAATCGATTCTACAGCCAAGTTTATTGATATAAAGTCGTGTGTAAGTGTAAAAATCTTATTAAATAACAATGAAAAACATCCAAATTATGATAATTAATAAGTCTAATTATCAATTAACATTATTGCATTTTTATTTTAAAAAAGAGATCTAAATGATGTAATTTATTTTCATCCAACAAGTGGGTCGCGATCCTCCAGAGAGACGGTAAAATAGATTGCTGGATAATGTCACGATCTTTCAATACGTTAAAAGGTTGAGAAGTGCTGTCGTAGACAAGTTTAGAATTTGATGATAACGTAATTACATTACTGAATAATAAAAAAAATAGGTTATTGATAGAATATCCGGTTAAAAATTGCCGAACACCTTTGATTTTGTTGTTCCATTTATATCCTTGACCTAAATATAAGTGTCATCCCCTACATCTTTATATTTTTATGTTAATTATAATTTAAATTTAGAGTGTTGGCTGGTGTTATCTTTATTTCGAATTTATTGTAATTTTGGAAAAGAATTTGAAAGAACTACAAGCAAAAACAATTTTAATAATTACTTTTTTTCATTTAGCACTCATACCAAATACATACATATAATATATTGCCTTACTTTGGCCACGCGTACGGATACACTAAATAGAACATACATATAGATATATTGATGAACAATCGTGTGCAGCTGATGTATCTATAGTAAAAGAGCCCCTGATTTAGTATAGATAGCATCGCTGTTTGTTGCTGTTCATACTTACGGTATCAACATATGCATGTTTTTGTTTTTAAAATACGAATTTATATACTTTAATTTTGGATACAACCATGATGTATAATAAATTCACGCTGAGCATCATATTGTTTTTTTAGAGGATTGTTTCGTTTGTGGATGTACGAGGTCCGTTGACGAGCGAATAACGAGAAGATCCTTCCCTTCTAGTCGTTAGTTTGCCGAGCATGAAGAGATTTTTGAAAGTTTCTCGAAACTGTCTACACATTCCACAATAAATAGCAAAATTAACTGGATAACTGAACATGATGAAAAAATTTGTAAACAAAATGGTTGCGTTCAAATCATTGTAATCCGCAATGTTTAAATCGAGGGCATTCTGCATGACATGCAACAGCGTAGTGACTGCTAACGGTATCTCGACTGCCAAAAACACAGTCACTACGACAATTAACATTAAAGTAGTACAATTACTATCTCTTAATTTCTTACATTCGCTTTTACGATTCTCGTTGAACAATCTTTCACGTTTTCTCTGCGCTTCTTTAAGGGCCTTCAATAGAAGCACGTTGAGGACGACCAAAGCTGTACAGGGACCAATGTGTACAAACACTATGCGAAAACCGTAATAAAACGTAAAATATGCATTTTCTGTAACAAATTCTCTCACCCATCGCGCCGTTTGAAAGCCGCACCGCCAATGAAATTCACCATTTACGGGGAATTTTATGGAACAGTATTCTCTATCGAAGAAGCGAGTTGATTGATGAAACAGAGAAAATATAAACACCCAAACCATGGCTCTTAGAACTTTGGGCACTTGGCACCAAGTACGAGCCGTAGTCGGATGACATACGTAAATATATCTTTGTACAGCCAACAATAACGTTAACCATATAGAAGCCGTATGAAAGAAACTGGGTAAAATTTCAATCATGCAATGATAAGCGTAACAGGCAGATGGTGGATATAGAACCTTTGCGTGATTTCCTAGTGTATACATGTAAAAATACCAAGGTGCAGGAAATAACAGTGTTAACATATCGGAAATTGCCATGGCCAAGAGTACTAAATTAGTCGGTGTCCTCATGTGCCTCTGCGATAACACCACGACTATTAAGGTGTTGGCAACGATCGTCACTAGAAGCAAAAACGGCATGATGTAACCAAACAAAGGCATAGCGTAACGGAATGGCAAGTCCCGCGAAACATTAACCAGATTAAAAGGTGTATTTAGATAATATGATGATTCCTCTGATATGTTTGTGCTATTGATGCTATCATCAAATGATACTATGTGTTCGGTGATTATTTCTGTAGTTGTTTCCGACTCCATCTTCTTCTGTTTCGTATGTGCTGTAGTAGACGATAGGTCACCGAATATTCAAGCAAACTAACTGATATTGAAAATGCCAACAAAAAAACTCCTGGTTCATTATCGGCAATCAAGCGCTTCACTTTGATTTTTCTTCGCTTGATTATAAACACCTGAAAAATAAACATTTCTCTTGTTATATAATAAAACTATTTAGTTTCCGCTGTGTGTGATTAATTTTTATTCATTTCAACACTAATCTCGAATGATTTTAAATTTGTCATCATCCTAATATCTGCAAATGTCACTTCAGCTTCTTCAAATAAATCTTCCTCAGCACAGAACGACAAAGGAGAAATTGCTCAGTCCAAGTACTAGAAACGTTCAAAACTCTTTAATATCCTGGCACTGGAAACCGAGTGAAGACCAGTACTTAAGTTCAGCGGCTATATGTTCGACCTGTTTTTATATTACTATAAAATTGCTGCTGAAGACAAAGCAAAAATTGTTTATTTAATGTCATAAAATTCCAGGTAACTTATTAATTCTAATTCATTTCTATTTTATCTAAATTTATATTAAAACTCAAATCGTTTAATACTTCACATTTCGTCATAACCGTGCAAGGAATATATTGAAAGAAACTTTGTCTTTATTAAGCTCTAATAGATATTGATAATCTGTTAAATATGTGTTGAACACATATATGTTTTATTAACTTATTATTTAATTTTGAAGCGAAATAAATTATAATTAATTCAAAATATATATATATTTTTAAAATTATATCCTTTTTTATAAGAAATATATTTAGTTTATTATTTAAAATTTTTGCCAATAGATGGCGCTACGTGTAAATTATCAAATCTAATGTAAATAGAAATTCATTTACATATATTCAATAGATATTTTGGGGTGGGATGTACGACATTATCTAAGCCAGAAATATGTGAACGTAATAACTGCCGGAGTTTCGTAGCAATTGATCGAATGGCCTAAGAGTGTACAGCGAACAAACAAACAAACATCCTCATAAAATCTGTAAAAAAAAGGATACAATTATTGCAGAATTAAAACTATAAAACAGAATCATTCGGCGCAAAAGTGGTACTATTTTGGGGGAGGCTCCTGCATATTGTATGCTTAGGAGCGCCATATTTCTAACTGCACCATTGTCCAAGTTTAATTAAAAAAATAATCATGATAAATAAGATTTGAGATTATCCTTAAATAATAAAATAATTTTCTTTTATATCATACAAATATTTTCAAAATAAATTAATGTTTTATGTTATTTTAATCACCAACGTTTAAAAAGATAATGATACCAATATATTATTATCATCAATTTTAACTTATTTAATTCTAAAATAAATTGCCATGTCATATCGATAAACTATACTAATATAAGACCATAAATTCCTAGTTGGAATTTACCAGCTATTTCGCTTTATCGGTCTTTTCCAATGCAATAATGATCTCATTAAAACATCCGCACTTATCATATCTTACGCTCGACATACTCTATAAGCTCATTATTCATTTAGAAAAGAAACTTTCCTTTTTTACTGTTTTATTACATATTTACGAGAAGTGAAATTTAAAAGAATATTCTAATTTATGAAAGCATTAAACTAATATTGCACAATATATTCTTTTCGATTGTGAAGCAATCGGCAATTACTANTAACTTGAAATTTTGTGAAAAGATTCCGCTTGATTGAATATTTGTCAATATATACTTTTTCTAACAAAAGTAATATTAGTAAATTTTTAAAAAATCCTAAAAAGATGCAATGTGTTGAAATTCATAAAATATTTTAAGTAATTGCTGTAATTTAATGTAATTAACCAGTTGAAAAATTATATATTCTACATAATAACACAGAATTTCATGAAAAGTAATGTAATAATCATTAAATACGTTATCAAATAATGACATTTTATAGCCCATTAGTGGCGAGTGAATAGAATTACTAAAAATTGATCACGGGTTCGTACCTGACCGACAGGCTGGCCACGTGGAGTTTTCCGGGTTTTATTCACATGTCTAACAACTATAAAGTGGTCAGTTCACCACAGAAATCCTCACAAACCCGGCAGATCTCTCGTGTGTGAATTTCATGAAATTTTCGCGTAAGTATTTAAATCAATGAAATTTTTTGATTCTTCAATTTCTTTAAGAAAAGAAAATGTAAATACTTTATAAATTGTAGATTAATGGGATAAGTTAAAGCAACACCCGAGCGATCTGCCAAGGAAGAAGACTCCCTTTTTAGGTGTTAGACACTTGAAGAAAATTCCACGTGGTTAGTCCACTGATAAGGTGCGAACCCACGACCAACCACCAGTGTTCGGTAGTGTTATTCACTCGGTCACTGGCGGAGTAAATAATTTAAATCAATTAAATTTGAAGTTTTTCAAATCTTCCTCACATTCAACTAACAAAGTAATCAAGTAAATTTAATGATTGATCGTCGAAATGATAATAAAATATCGATTTAAAGATAATTTATATTTAAATATTCTCTAATATCGATAATTTTACGACGTTCTAAATCATAAAATCCGAAATTTATTATTAAGAGCATTCATAATTTGAAGCCATTTCAATATAATGTACCGATAATAAAATGGATGGTTGGAGAAGATTTGAATCATAACGAAGGAATTGGTTGTTTAAACGCTTATACATTCATTAATTTCAAAATATCTTCCAAAAATAATAATAATAACTACTAATTCTTGTTGGAGACAGGGTTAATGCTCTGGTGTCATGTCAAAATCTAAAGTTATAAGAGAAATAGTCTGATAAATAACATAATAATAACGATACATATCATAACAACCGTATAACTATGTAATAAAGTTATCAGAATAACCATTAGATATGAAAGTAACTAGAATTCTTCGTACAGAACATTGATAATAAACAGAAAACAAAATAATTCATATACAAAATATCGGTTAAAGCACCCCATAAAAATATTTTATTACACCCAGCCCTGTTTGAACAGTAATTTAAATTTAATAATATAAAATAAAGGTTATAAAAGTAAAGAAAATTTTTCTAATTTTTGTTTTTTCGCTTAAAGATTGCTAAAAGTTTATCGCTGAAATGATCATTCTTTCCTTAACTGGGAGAAAATATCCGAAAACGAAAGAATCTGTGACCATTTCCAACAACACAATTGAAAAATTGGATTATTTTAAGACAGCAAATGTGAACGTTTTGACAGACCAAAGTGAAGCAAAACCTAATAAAAACTTACTCAGTAAATCAAAGGAAACACTTTATTTTGTTTAATACTTGTCCAGGGATTTGATAAAAATAAGTTAAATTTTTTTTTCTGGCGAGGAAAACACCTTTTCTTTTAATTCTGTAAGTTATAAAAAGTATTTTTAAAAGTTTATTTTAAAGTTAACATCAACAAAAATTCAANCAGAATATCCTGGACAGATAGATGAATAATGATGTATTAAGAGTAGAGTAGAAGACTGATAAGAACAATTAAAAGAAGGAATAATAGGATTGGGCAAGTCTTCAGGCATGAAAGAAGTATGGCACACTCCTGTTCTAACTCACCACGTGTTCTATTCTATAGACGGTCCTATTCTTCCTGGAAAATAGGAAGAGTAAGATGTAGAACAGAATACTTTGAGTGATAAACAGCAGTACCATTCTGAAGGGAAAGGATAGAATCACACGAGATCCTTCTGATTAGTGTACAACCGTGAGAACTGGGATTTTTAAACCTGATCTCTGACTCCGTTTCATCACTTAACCTACAGAGTATACAATTAACAAGCTCTGGGCTACATCAAGAAACATTAATCCAGAAAACAAACAAGGATATTTTCAAAAAATCAAATACATTTAATTTTGACCCACACTAGTTAATCTCCCATCCATATCTGTTGAAAAAAATCCTCTGAGAAAATTAATTCTTTGCATTAATTACCAGTAAAATTAATCACTAAAAATTGTCAGGATTGCAAAACTTTTTATCAAGGTGTGAAAAGGATTCCACGATTAAAATAAGTTTGGAACTGCTGATATGGACTTTTTGAAGTGTACTTTTATCAGAAACAACTCTCTTCGTGTACTTTTCTAAATAACTTTTTAGAGAAGGATGTTGTAACACGAAGAGTTGAGTATCAGCTTGAATAAACGTAGCAGTAATATCGCCATAAAACTGATTGACTATTTGATAAAAATGATCCATTAATCCACGATTGTTTGGTTCCTTATCTTTATAATTCCTTGTTCTTCGCTTGTTTACCAGTTTTGTGGCCCGATTTGTGTTCTCTGATGATTTCATCTACTCTTCGTATGACGTTACAAATGCCACAACACGCAATTGTTTCATCTGATACTGAGTATTTATATGCAATATCTTTCAATTTGCCACTTGCCACTTATATTTTACAAAATTATGCTTTCACAAAACTTAACGTGAACAGTTCTCATAGTTATACACAACCAGTTAATCCTGATTCTCGCGTGATTCCTTCCTTCCCATCAGAATGGCACGGCTTTTCACTCGGGAGACAGTTATAAACAAATAAAAAGTATCAAAACGTCTAAAATTCTATGAAAAGCGCTAGGTAACCCTCTGATAAATGTTCCTAACGATGGTAGCAAGTGAAAAAATAGTTTAAACCCAAGTTCTGCTTAGTTAAAAAATTGATGCTCCACCCGGAATTTTTCTTCCTAGTGATGAGATTCGACACCATAATTATCACTTGAGCAATCTGAAAAGAGAGGTATCATCCGGGAGGACTTTCTTTGGGAAATTGATCTCAATTTAAGTGTAATAAAATCAGGAAAACTCTACGTGACCAATTCCTGGTCAAATGCGAACCCACGACCAACCATTATAGTTTAGTGGCTTTATTCACTCTGCTATTGATGGACGTGGGGAATAAGAAAAGAGAGAATACTACAATATTTAACTTTAAAACCGGAATTAAAAAATTAGAATTACGTAACTTTAACTTTAATATTAACTTTTTTTTTGCCTGTTATACAATAACGAAGTCCTATAAACCTGTGCAAGACGTGCCTCTTTAGTATATAATTTAAACTTTAATGAATATAAAAGCTAAAAGTGAAAAATAATTATTGTTAAACTTTATAAACTTTTTTTATAGATAATTTTTCTTTTTATTT